TTCCCAATGCTAAAATATCTGCATTTATAATTTTTTAAGATTACACTGGCTAAAAATGGCGACACTTAAATGTTAGTTTTTCTTTCATGCTGCAGCATTTTTGATTTAAAAAACAACAAAGCAGAACAAAAATATGTTTTACTTTCTTATTTTTAAAATCATTCACCTTTATTTTTTGGTTTGGCTAGTGATACCATAAACGTCATCGACCAAAAGGCGGGTGTGGGAGCATGCACGTGCCTGCGCATCCAGCTGTGTATAGGCCCATGACGCTGCACAAGCGCGTTGCATGACAAATCTGACCAGACGTGGCTCTGATGGACTGAAGATCAAAACTTTGAATCTTAGGACAAAAGGGGAATTCAGTGAGATGAGGTGCATGCCACTCCCCTCCATCTGGGAGGTCAAGGCTGGCAGCGGGGTTCTGAAAAGGATGGTACCGATGGGTGTCCTGGGAACACAGGCCCTATTGATTTATAATAGATCTGGAAGGTAGGTGAATCAAATGCAGTACTGCACAGCAATAAAAAAATCTGGTTACTTCACATTCCTATGCCCATCAGCATGCTCTTTATCTGTGCTGTGCTTGCACGGAACTCATATCCATGCAGATAAACACACTCCATGACATCTAGAAGGATACGTATTTCATCACGTTTTCTTCCTGCTTACCGAAAGAAAAGGCATTCAAGGGCGACAGGGTGTGTCACTTGAGCCAAAAATGAAGTGGCTGGTTCTTACATAAAGATAAATACCTTATCTCAGTAACAGACCAAAGACCCCAGGGCAGATTTTGTGCTTTGCTTTCTAACAGCGCAAAGTGATGCCCTCACCGTCAACCCTAAGTTCTCCTCTCCTGTGCTCCAGAAGCAACATGGTTAGGGTGGAGGGACAGGCAAGCAAACTTCACTCATTGACAGACATTATATCAATTGTTCAATGTCCATTTTCTTCTTCGTTGATTAAGCAAACTTCTATCTTCCAACCTCTTCTTATAAGCTGTTTTCTAAGCTTTTCTGATGTTTGGGTGTCTCCCCTGGAACGGTCATGCTGGTTAGTGCATTTGTCCTACCCTGGGTGCAAACCTCCAGGCAGATGTCTCCCTCTCCAGGTAATGAGCTTTAATGGCTTTCCACATGATGTCCCAGAGCCAGATGCAATCTAACTAGCATATTGCTGACTTAAATTAGTTTGTGGTTCACTGCCCCTGCTAGGTCCTCTGTTAAAATATTTTAGCCCATCCAATTATGCTCCATCTTTTATTTGATTATTTGCTTCCTTGCTAGAGCACTTTTCGCTTATAATTACTGAGTTTCCTCTAACTGATTTCAGATCACTTGGACATCAATTGCAACTGAGCTCATTTTTTAATTTAGAAACTGCTCTCCAAGCACTCCTTCCCATAACTGTTTCAACCTTTGCACCACCGACAAGTTGCCTACACTCACTCCATTGCTCTGACTAGGTCATTACAAGAAATAGTGTGGTGTCTGTCTTAGGGTAGCTTTCAAGAATCCGAGCTGGTATGTTCTCCTCCTAGAATGACAGCAAACTTTTGAAAATGTAATTACTGATTTTCAGTGTTGCTGTATACTAATTTCCCCTAGTCCACGTTTGCCATGGGTACTTCTGTGTCATCTGGGACTATGTCAGAAGCCGTTTTAAGGTCAACCTGTATTGTATCTGCTGATTCTTTTTTACCCACTGGGCCAGTTATCCTGTCAATTAAATAAATTAGTTTGATTTGTCATAAATTTGTTCTTGACAATTCCATGCTGGCTATTTCTCATTGGTTTATTATCCTCCAGGTGCTTACTAATTCTTTCATGATTTCGATATCTTTGAATACCAAGGTTAGGCTGTCTCTTGTATAATCCCTTCGACCTTTTGTCCTTGTTTCCACCTTCAATCTTCCTTCATTTGGAAGAGCCAACATTTGTCCTTCTTGTTATTCCACATTCTACATGTATTCCCCAAAATACAGCTAATACTTCAGAGATTGTTTTGGCCACAGTGTGTTTCTCTGGGTCCTACCAACTGGAACATACATTTGAAAGACATATTCCTGTTAAAATGGAACTTTTTTTAAGATGCCAAAGAATGCTTCCCCATACAAATTAAGAGACAAAACTTCCAACTGTGAGCAGATGTCTACAAAGATGTAGATGAACAATATTGGTGTAAGTTTTACACCCTCTTTAGTATCTACCTGCCTAATAAATTGTCACACCTTTCCTTTGCAGGTAGAATATTGTTGGAGAAATAAGGAGCATTTCTCATTTTGTTCTGAAAACAATGTATGAAGGCAACATGCAGTTCAAGTCTATCACACACCTTAGCGGCAGAAACACGGACAACAGCAGCAACCAGTACGTTTTGCTCCAAAGTTAGCTGTTGTCCAAAATTTGACCTAATCTCTCACTATGCCCAGGTAGAATATCCAATTCTTCTTAGCTGTTATGTGGACTTCAAAAAAGGCCAAATCTACTCTGACTCATCATTAAATAAGACTCAATTTCTCCTGGGCCATGGGCATTTGATACTATAGTGCATCCTTTCTATCTACCACGGAATTGCCAAGTAATTTCAAGTTCATCAGAATGTGCTGCATCACTCCATTTATTCCAGTTTATTGCATCTTTAGAAGAAATAAATGTATTAGCTGTGAGCAAAGCCTGAGAAAAATGCAAGAAAACCCATTCTGTTTCATCTTATCCCACCTTAGTCCTGTAATTTGATATCTTAAAAAAGACATTTATTAAGAAAGAGAAAGAGGTTGTATAGATTATGGTAGCAATGGACTTTTAAGGCAGCACTGACAGACTGCAGTAAGGGAACAAAAGAATGCAAATAAGGAAGAAAACATTAATTTGGGGTATAGAGTTATCCCTCTTGACTGGACATAAGTTCCTATAATGCTCAATTTACCTGTTTTGACATAACCAGTTCATTGGGTTTGCAAGGGCATTACCTACTCTGCAGCAATATTCCCTTCTTCTGCTGCCCTCCAGGTAATCAGAGATCAGAAAACCAAAACTGAGATTAAAACCTGAGTATTAGCTACAATAAAAAAGTTACAGGATTTGTGGTTTTAATCACATATTAGCTGTCATTGCAGCAAATGACTGTGATTTGGCATTTGGGAGAAGATCACAGGTCTTTTGTTTCTTCTTTTCTAATATAAGTGCTTTAAAGTTTTTCTTGAGCTGTACAGAGCACATTGTTGGCAATAATTTGAACACTATATATTTAGCAGAAAGGTGCTTGTAATTTTTATGCCAACCTCCTCATGAAAGCTCCTTATGGACACAGTGGCTCAAACTAAGCAAAGCTAGCAGAGAAATTTTAAGGAATTTTGATTCTTAAGTGGCTTGAAGAAACTAAGAAGCATCTCAGGGAAAACCTGAATCTGACCTCCTCTGAGCCTCGGAATTACTGCGTACCCACCCAAAATTGGTGCTTCAGATGCAGTTAAGCTGCAAAGAACATATAATGTTCAATCTCCTTTCAGTTGTTCCCCATAATTTGTCCTTGTATTTGCTAGTTCTCAAAGATCTTTCCTCTAATAAGATTCTTCTTCTTCCCAGTTAATTTCATTTTTTCACCCCTGAATCCAGAAATGAAGATGATATTGTGCTGAACTTATGAGATCATATCCATTTCCAGCAGCAGAATGACTCTGTGCTGAATTCAGCAGTTCCTGCTACAGGGAGACACTAGTTGCGAATGGTAACAGTCCTCTGTGAACACAGCTCCCTGAAATAAATACCACGGGAATGCTACAAATGACAGTCTCTGCCAATTCTCCTTTGCATAAACATTTTAATTACATAAAAACTTTCTTTGAAACTATCTGAAACCTCTGGACTAGACTGCAACAAATTAAAGTAACCCTAAGTTATCTGCAGTGAAAACACAGCCAGCAAAGCTTTTAGCATTGATTACGTTCAGCTAGAAATTTTACCTTGAGTTTGTACAGTTTTTATTATAATATGAATCACAGAGCACTTAATATACAATCAGCACAATTGCAAACGGATCTGTCACAGTGTGTTTCTCTGATGTACGAGAGGATGAGTTTCTGCTAATGAGGCCTGATTTTCCCAGGGCAATAATAATAGTAAAACCTAAAAGAATGAATGAAGGTACTGTAACTAGCCTAATACGGATTGAAGAACTTGGCATTTAGGAGAAAAGTACCTTGGTCTCAGTACTTTCTTCCTGAATCATAGCTAATGCTCATGGATTCATCAAAAAAAAAAAAAAAAAGGTCACTGCACTCCACAGTAAAAGATGGTGAAACCGTTCTTATCCAACTGTGTATTTCTTGTATGCAGAATGAAAAAAGGCTGTTCCTTTAGGTCACTAAGATGAGAGAGAATGCTGGAAAAAGGGTGCAGCAACCAGAGGCGTGAGTCCAAATCCAACGCTCACTCTGTAAATGGGAGGTCTTCGATTACGTTTAGTAGGTATTAGACCTGCCTCTTCTGTGGCCGTTTTGAAAAGCAAAGCAAAGGGTCTGGGGGAGGTTATTGGCAAGCCGTGCTAACTGCAGAACAGTAACCGCCAGGAGTGAGAGCTGTGGAAGAGGAAGAGGAGGCTGGCCCCGAGGCCTGGAGTCGTCTCCAGGCTCTCACGCGAGCCTCTCTCCTTCCTTGGTCAAGAAGACATCGGGCAAGACATACACTGCCGATGAAACCATAAAGGTGTATTTTTTTGTTTTTCAAAACCAACGTTTCCAACTTCCTCGGGATACATTAATATTCATCCTCCGTGAAAGGGCAAAATGAAAGATTTGCACTGAGCAGAAGCCAGAGAAGTTGGCAAAGCCCACAGCCAGCAGGAAGTCTATTCAAAAGACTAATTGGAGCCACAGAAACCCTCTAGCCCACCAGAGCCTTCCTTAAAGAGTATCTTTAGCAGTTTAGCAGAATTGCTAATGATTTAGTTCATGAGCTACAGAACTACAGCCATTAGTGGGTTAGTGCTCTCATACTGACCGTGAATTGTTGTGAAGCTGATTTACATACAGCTTTATAAGAGAATGCTCATCAGCCACAGGACTGGCTGCATTTATACCCCCAAGTAACCTGAATGATTCAAACAACGAAACCTTGTTAATAACCCAAAAAGTATACACAGACACCAGCCTGTTCAGAGCGGGTTCATGACTATAAATGCAGTTCGTAACCATTTAAAAAGGATACTGACTTGACAGTTGGCAGGGTGCTTTTTTTTGGAATAAAAAAAGTGCAAATTACATTTCTAAGAGCTGAAAATAAAAATAATGAGAATAAGCTGTCAAACACTTAAAAATCCCTCTAGGTCAGTGAAACAAAAGTTACAATAGCTTTAACATACAAGCAATGTAATTGCTTTACATATCAGGGTACTGTTAAATCTAAAAAAGCCAGAACTGACTGCTGCATCATGGAAAATTTTGCTGTGTAAGGACGTCATACTACCCACTTATAAGGAAGTCTGGGTACCCATGGTTGCAGGGTTTTTGTCTCCTGCCTTCAGGGGACTCTCTTAGAGAAGTCCTTTGTCTAGGAGAAAAGGAATTCTGATGGCTCAGGGATCATATATGTTTAATCCTAATAGTTGAAGATAGTCAGTTGAACAAAAGAACACAAAAGTAAAATAATAATTTTTTTCAAACGAAGAAAACAAGTGGCACAGCAGATAGTGCTGTGATTATTAATGCAGGTCCCCGGCCTATATGGCAAAGCATACTTTTGTTGAATGAGCACAGGGACTCCCTGGGGATAAACAGAAGCAACAGCTACACTCTTAAAGAGCATAGCTCTTAACAACCTGTCCTGGAGAGGCCACAAATAGATTATCCAGTCTTGCCCCAACACACACAATTCCATATACTCCAGCAAGAGAAACGAACATGCATTTGCAATCTCCCTGTCCGTACAGGCAGGAGAACTGGTCTTGGGGGCTGCTTTGGGACTGGCGTCCAAATAACATCTCAGTCACACCCAGCAGCTCTGTGCACTGAGACAACACCGAGAGCTTACGGTTCATAGCTCCTGGTAGCAAAGTTCATAAATCACAGTAGCAGTAAGCCATCTTTACTCTGACATCGCAGTGTGGTATGCTGTGGGTTTGGTTTTGGTGTTAAAAAGTGTAGCCATGCGCACTCAGAGGTTGTGTTTGGTTATTCAGGAACGCTGAAGCACTGGCACGTACAACAGGAACCAAGCAATAAAATGCATCCAAGGAAGACGTAACACTCATCTTCCCCAGTACAGTGGGAAGTTATTTTACTGCCACCTTCTCATCCATGTGCACTGCTAAGCTTACACAGATCAGGTGAAACTGCTAGCAAATGCTACACACATTTTGGCCACATGAGCCAAAATACTGAGTCAAAATGTACACTCAGCTGCAAACACCTTCTCTTTGGGATTAATGTTTTTGATCACTCCTCCCTGGTTTGTTTGCTGAAGGGTCACCATAAGCCAAGACTATTCTCTCTCTTGTAGCCTTTAATGAAAATCTGAATGGTTTAACAGGAGTAAGGATGTCTTGCTGTATCTTACAAGTAAGAACATGTTCATATGGTATCTTGCAGTATGATGCCAGCAATCCCAGTAGGCAACGGCAAGTCCCAGTTTCTATTCCCATGCTGCTGCTACAAAACGGCTTCTCGCCCATTTTCAGCCCCCGTGGGAGGGTGCCTAGCTGGACACTTGGTCACCTTTAGTGGGACATCATAGTCTAAACGAGAACTGAAGTTCTGTGCTCTGTTGTGAGGAGTTTGGGGTGCCCTAATGCCAGCTCTCCAGCTACATATCTTGGTATCAGTCCAAACAAACCAAGGTATTTTCTAGTCATGTTTGTTAATTTTATTTTGGTTGTGTGGGGTTTTTTGGTTGTTTTTTTCAGAGTGGGAAGGAACTGAAAACTGAAAACTCCATCACTATAATATGGTGATTTAACTTAAACTGGAGTAAGAACTCACCTTCTGTTTGCAAACGGACTTCCTGAGGGAACGGAGTGGGAGAAGAGTGTGTCGTTCATGCTGGTTACAGGGCGGGGGGGCCTAGAAGAAGGCAAAATATCCAGTTGCATTAATTTTGCACAACAGAAAACTCATAAGCAACAATATTTACAGAAAATGAAGTGAGCTTCTTGTTAAAGTAACATTACTACTAGGATCTTCTGCTTTAAGGAGCTATAGTTCAAAATCAAATACCCTGTGTTTTTAACTGGAAGTTGATAAAACCCACACTGTTACTTAGACCCAGAAAGAAAGAATGCTTTTGTGTGTGCTGAGGTGAGTTTTAAGCAAAGTGCCTAACTTTTTTCTTGGTTTGGCAAAATAACCACTATGACATTTTTTCTTTCCAGAGCCTGTAGTCCACTGTACAGTCACTGCTTTCAACCACCTTGGCTGAGCACTGGTGGCAGCATGGAGGTCTGCAGGGGATGGCTGCCAATAAATGACACATCTTTTCATAAGGCTATCCTTGGCGCTCAGCTCCATGCTACCATATCCACACAGTGACCACAGTGTACCCACAGCCCTCAGTGTCCCATAAAATACAGGTAATACTAAACTGGTTTAACAGCAAAGCTTTTCAACTGGCATATCAACCCCCCAAAACAAAACTTAAAATAAGCATATAGTTTAACAGGACCCGTTAATAATGATGGTTTTATTATGACATTCTTCACTTCCAGCTCTTACTAAAAATGAAATGAGAAGAGATATTTCCTCTGCTTTTTTACTGTCTACTCTTAAAAGTTACTTTGAACATAATTTTTTCTTCTGTACCCATTAAGGAGAAATTTCCCCTTCTTAATGGACTTCTTATGCAACAAATGTGGTCTTTGACAAGTCCAAATGGATTTCTCAGCATGAAAATACCCCACTGATTTTAAGAATTGCACCTGCAGACACACAGGAAAAACTCCAGTTCTGGTCAGTCACAAATTTGAGAAGCAGCATTTTGTGCTCTATGTACTTATGAAGAAGTGTTTAATATTATTTTTCATGGATTCATTCATCAGAGCTAGGAAGAGCTTGGATGAGGCCATGATCAGAGCCAATCCACTGGAAAGATCATTGTGGTATGAGTCTTGAAATACAGAGATTTGAAAATAAACTTCTAGAAAATACTTAGGAAGTAATTTTATTTACTGGGCAAGCAACCGGTATTGTGTTGCCTGGGAATTGTAAACTGGTAATTGATGCTGAAGTAGTTCACACCAACTCCATGCGGCTACTGTATTTGTCCTTTTCTCCGTGCAATTACTGGCCACTGAACACATTAAAAACTAACTGGGCACAGGCCAGGGTTTCTGAAAGATGGCTCCAACCACGGGCTGCTGAGTCCTGATCAGCAGAGAAGGAAGGAGAGACTGGTTCTCAGCGCTGCCCCACAGGAGGGGGCAAGAGGAGTGCTCCCTTGGGAGAGCCCAGGCTCTGCTTTGCCCTGCACCCAACCCACCTCCGCTGACTATGAAGTGGGTACGTGGCACCCACAGACTTCAGCAGATCAACACACACTTGAGCAACCTGGTCTAGTGGAAGGTGTCCCTGTCCATGGCAGGGGGGTTAGAACTAGATGGCCTTTAAGGTTCCTTCCAACCCAAACCATTCTATGATTCACTAACATTTATCTCAAAATAGGGCTGGAATGGAAAGTTTCTAAGCCCCAAAAGAGCTTTTTTCTTTCACGGTCTCTGTATTCAAAGACTTTTTTTTTTCTTTTTCTGCACTCTGACAAAAAGTTTAAGATTGCTAATAATGAGATTATTGCATTTTTTCCAAGCTTTTTCCTCCAATATGTGTACTAAAGAAGAAAAATACTCACCAAGTATCTCTTTTGCAGCCAAAATGAAATGGAAAAGAGATCATTAATTACATTGTCAGTTCAATATGTATATGGTTTAAGTAGTGCATTGGACACACTCCATTCATATGACCCTGATACTGCAAAAAGCTTGAGTCCTTCTATGCATAAAAGGTCATTGATCCATTTATATATGCAGAGCTACTCTTGTGTACAAATGCCTACAAACTCTAAGGCTTTGCTAAGGTTTTGTGATTAGCATCAGTCTGTCAACTATTATATGAAGAAACCTGTATTAAACTAATCTGAGCTTTCCCAAGGCAAGTTTCTTAAAGGCTGATGCCCACTGGCACATTCCCCAGGTTCAGCCTGAGCATCAAATGGATATTCAAACGTACATATACAGTTGTGTGATGTGGTAAGACAAGAACAGCAGGCTTTACGGTAAAGCAAAGGAAATCTCAGCTATTGACTATAAATGTGTATCTTTCTGAGGTTATTTCTAAACTTCTGGAAGTGAGTGATTAAGCTTTCTGATAAAAGTGAGCTAATGATAATCAGCTTTCCTCAAGAAGGCAGAAAACACTTCATGCTATTAAAGTGTGCTGTGTAATATATGCATGTTATGGCATAGCACATACTCATAGTAATAAACCAAATTAAATAAAAGTAATTTTTCAAAGTGCACCATGCTGGTCTAACCTCTTCACAGTGATGTCAAAAATAACACTCCCATGGGCTTAGTTGGAAATAGTCAAGCCAGTGCAGAATGCATTTGAAAATCCATCCATGCTGGCCACACCACTTGTCATCTCTGCAGCCTGGTGTTTCTTTTTTGTTGCCTATCTTATACATAAAAAGGATAAATGACCCCTCCATCATGGGGGCAGTGGGAGTTCCTCCATCAAGTTAATGACACCTTGATAACTACTTCTCTAGATGAGCCTTTGATGTGTTTCTTGCTTAACTGAAAATCTCGTGTGGCACCAGTAAAACAGAAAAACCACGCAGTTGTCTTGTCTGGTACCACTCAAAGGTGAAAAAACAATGAAAAGCAAAGGCTGTATAATAATGCAGAGAGTACGTGTCCTCATTTAAGCTAGAGGCTAAGAAAAGGATACAATTTTGTTGCCAAATTTTTTCCATTAAATGCACATATAAACCCCTTTTTGCCTGGATTCCTGCCCAGATCTGTTTCTCTCAACTTCCATTATGTTTAAAAATAAAAATCACATCAGCGAGAAGATATTCTCAATGAGGTACTGTAGCATATCTCTCCCCTTTGTTAATTTATGTGAATTATGCTGTAGATCATGCTACCTCCACAACTTACAGATTTTTCACTCATATATCATTATAGCCAATATATATTGCCAAGTTATATTGCCCTCAATCTATGAATAAGGAGAAACTCTATCACAGAGCAAAATGGATGATGGTGCGTTCTCACATCCAATCACTCTAAATTATGCCTGTATAGGTAGGATGAAGGGAAGGTGTTAATTTCACGGCAAAGATTTGGAACAGATCCTACTCAGTTACAGCACCTTCCCCCTGCCTTTCCTAAATGCCTTTAATCCATCCACAGCAGCCCAGTTTTCACTACCTGTTGTCTTCTGACATACCCCCAGGCCTTTGAGGGCCTCCTCAAAGGAAGAGAGGCTTCTCTTTCAGTTTCATGCTCTGTGTCTCTTCCCATTTCTCTTAAGGATGGCCAAAATCAGCCCTGTGAAATTATCAGTGACTCGCTGGCAGAGCCAGGCTGTTACACCACGCACAGCAGTGGGGCACCTCAGCAGATCCTGCTCTGGATGATTTCTTCCAAAGAACAATCTCCTCCACGGGATGCATGGGTTTTAACTGGCAGCATAACAGGGATTTGGCAGTATGTACCTGCCAGAAGCACCTCGTTTCTGAAGAGCAGAGCGCTCTTTCATGCCCTGAAAAAGTTCTGCTGTAACTACACAAGAAGCACCATCAGCATGATTTATCCTTAAAATGCCAGGTAGGTTAGATGAATTTTCCAGGTGTCACACACTGGCCAGCATGCACTAGCCCTTGAAGATGCTACATACAACCATTCCGGACTGACAAAAGTAATTATGTAGGATAACTACAGACCGGAATCGTTCCAGCAGCCAGTAACACAGATATACAGCATGCAAATACAATTTTAATGGCTGCTGCCTGGAATGCTTTGGTGACGGGCCCTGGGAAGGTGGTTAGAAAAGATCTTTTCCTAAGACATGTAAGATGATCTAAGAATAAAAGAAATACTTTAAAGACAGTAACTTTGGAGTAGCTTTTCCAAGTTAATTTCTTTGCTACTTTCTTCCAACCAGTGTTTTAATTTTTCCTGGAACATTTAACTTTTTTTTTAAAGGACCCAGGAAGCAAAGGTAAAAGAAAGTGATACATAAGAAAACCTGAGGAAATGCCACTATGGACAGTGAACATGTTTTCGGCAAAAAAAAAAATCCCAAGTGATCATTTCCCCACCTAGCACAAACACATTTTCTCCCTGCTTTGAGTTTCTTGATTACTGCAGAGAAAAAGTAGTGACACAAACTACTATACCAAGAAAAGCTTTCTTTTCCCAAAACATAAAGATAAAAGCGACTCAGAAATTACAGACTATTTTTGAGCAAAATCACGTAACTGGTCTTCGTGGCTGGGGGAAACCACAGCTCCACTAAAGCCAGTAAGAACTCTGACACCAATTTCAACAGAATTGGTAGGACTTCCGTTCTCTCTGGTGCTTCAGGTCAAGACATACCTGTGATACATTGATGTTGGGAGTCTCTAAATGACAAAACTAACATTCCCAGTATGAATACATCCCAAAGTGCTGAAACTCTATGAAATTGTATGGATACGTCTTGAGGAGAACAGGGACCTACCAACATTGGCTCTCAGTATTTGGTTGCCTGCACATATCCCACTGACTCTTCAAGTGAACTCACACCAGAAGAACGTTTTTATGCTAAATAGTCTTATTAACAAATTTGCACTTGTGATGCATTGAGCTTGATAAGCCACAGCTGCCTCCCATTTTGTTCAGAGCTATAGTATCTACACTTGGTGTAACCAACTCGTGCAACAAAGCTTGCTTTCTCTACAGCACACAGATACTTACACAATATGAGCCAGGTTTAGAGGTTTTTCAGGCTGGTCAGGGAACATTGGGTGCAAAGGTTCACGGCTGGAAGCACAGCTTAAAGACTTGCTAAGTGCATTAGTTAGCTTCTTAGCAGGTGATTTCTGGGAGGAACAAGGAAGGTAGAGGTAATCTGGACAAGTAAGGTGCATACTGTTTTTGCTATAGGAAGCACAAAACAACAGGAAGCTCTACGGCTTACACAGGCATGACTGACACCCCCTTGGCCCCCCTCCCATCCTGAGAGTGTGGTAAAGCAAAGACTGCTCAGTTTGGAGGAAAGATTACTCTTACCTTCAGGGTCATTTAGAGCAGGCTTGGGGGGTATATCTATACGGATGGATGCAACTGCCAGGGTATATCTATATGGACAGATGCAATTGCCATGGCTTCTTTGCAATGCTGCACGCAGGTAGTATTGAATGAAGGGCAGCACAAAGTTAAATGTTGCCTGGACTGGAGCTGGCTCCTGCCTCACCAGCCAGGAGTGCCAGCAGAACAATTCTGTGTGTGCTTGTCCATACAGGTACACCTACAGGACACACATTTCCTTCCTTCCAGGCACAAGGCTGCTGTATTCTTTCTCTCCGCTAGTATTTCCCTCCTCAGCTCTAGCACCCTGTAGTTTAGCTGCCATTACAAAGCTCCTCTTTCACCTCCCGTGCCCGCTGCAGCCCCGACCATACCGTGAAAGAGGAAATTTCATACACAGGCATGGCAGGAATTGCCCCATCATGGCGACAGTGCTCCAGAAGTCTGATGTACTGTCACCAAAAGATGGGGAGGCATGCTTTTCACCCTGAAATCCCATCAGCGACTGTAAAAAATCAGTATTTTCTGCTTTCTAGTTTTGTTTGGACACTCTTTGCAGTTGAATGCTTTCCTAAAGGAGGACTCGGAGATGTAGGGTGTCTTTTAGGCTGTGTGAGAGATTCTCTGGGAGATTATCCAAACCACCTCTGTGACTCAGTTTCTTTGCCAGTAAAACAGGGGTAGTGATCCTTACACTGTCTCTTTCCCCCGAAACACAGCCAAAATTTCTATGTGCTGAAATTTTAAAACGTTTTTGGAACTTAACAGGAGTGGTATTGTACGTGTCCACACACATCAAGTTACGACCGTAACCAAGACAATAGTGAAATATTTCTATTACAGAATTCCAACCTAAATATGCAAAGTTCAGCCTTTTTCTCTTTCATCAAAACTGTGGTTTCACTGTGAGATCAGCTGAGTTCCATGGCACCCATGAACACCTTCAATCTGCTCGATGCAGATGCATTACGGAGAATGCTAACCTGGTTTGAACAAATGCTAATGAACACTACAGAAAGGCCATTTCAAACTTGAAGCAAAACATTGTTTCTGACAAGGCAACATTTGAAACCACTAGGCATGTAGTCTCGTTTTGCCTTCTGGTGAGCAGAAATCTTAAGTTTTCAAATTATTTCCTACCTATAATTACAGCTCTCTTGGCTACAGCAAAAAGCAGACTTTAGAGCGCAAATTGCTATTAGGAATGGAGTCTGAGCTACGTCGCGGGCACTCTCGCGTTCAGAGACTAAACTCAAGTCATTCATGTCTATGAAACAAACAGCAATTAGGACCCACAAACACAATTACAAACCCAGATCTGCTGGGAGGCAGCGCAGGGCCGTGTGACTGGCATACAGAGCAAGCCACATCAAACTTAACCCTTGCCTGCTCTATCAACAGAAAAATAGGTATTTTAAAAGTGTTAAGCTTCAGAACTTCATTAAAAAATAGACACAAAGTGTTGTAAAAATGTGAGTCATTGCTATATGCATAACTGTCTTTTTTTAATAACAATATACTTTTGTAACATTTGAGATTAGTTAGGATACTTCTGCTGGTCACTGGATTTGAACCCTGAAGGATGGGGATGCTCCGTGACCAAGGGCTTCTGCTGGGGCTTTGCTCCAGCCCGTAGAGAGCTTAGCGCCCCGTGTCTGATGCCCTTCAGAGAACATTAATGTAGCTGTTGATACTTCTCTTTCAGCTTAGAAAAAGCACTGAATTTTTTTGTTTAACAACAGAAAGACTGAAGCATGTTTTTCTCTACCCTAAACATGGCTGTGGATCTAAGCCTGTGACCACGCTGAGACTACAGGGCTAGGACTGCCAAAACTACCCTCCCAAATGCTACGCATATGCTGCAGCCACTCGACTGAAAATATTGATGAGTGAGAGTTAAGTATTCATCACTTCATTTACATGTCGCCAAACAGAGCGCGCCAATGCCGATTTTACCGTGAGTCCTGCGGGAGCGGGAGATGCTGCCGTGCGCCTGGTGCCGGCTGCCGGCCCCTCCTGCCTTGCCCTCCCCGTGGCACGCACCCTCACAGGCACCCCAAATCCTCACCCAGAAAAGACCGTGCCCACCTCCACGCTCTCCCGATGGCTCCCCAAGGCCAGAGCCTCCCTGACGGGGTCACCGCTCTGAACCAGCAGCCCAGCTCCTGGCCTCCCTGTGCCGGATGGCTGCCCAGAGCTGCAGCCGGGGGCTTCTCCACCGGCTGGAGGGCAAAACCGTCTGCAGCGAGACGCGAGCCTTCCCTTACCCATGACGTGTACTCTTTCATTTGGTGCTGGTTGCTGTGGGAACCGCTGGCATGGCCCCTCCAGAAGCAGTCCTGACAGAGCTGGTAATTGTGACACTGCTGGCAGCGGTAGCGAAACCCCATCATGCTCTCGCTGTGGCAGTAGGAACACTCCACGGGGTGGAAGACTGCGCAGGGAAAGAAACGCCGAGACGTAAAACAAAGCAGAGGAACCCCCAGCAAAAGTTTACAGACAAAGCCCTGAACTGAAGGGCAAATCCCTTCATTGTTTCCAGCCTCTGCAGTGGCGGATGCGGCCTGCAACCCATGAAAAGTGGAGTAGTGGCCCACCAACCTGTGCTGAGCCATGGGCAATGCTTCCTATGCTGGGCCCAAACCCTTCATCACTTCTGAGCTGATACCTCCTGCTCACAGCTACGAAAAATGTGTTCACTGTCTCACACAATACACGATAAGAGGAAATTCACACGTGGGAAAACTGACTGCAGCCTTCAGCTGTGTTAGTGGGGGAAGACGAATGCTTTGCTGTGCTGTCAGCAGCTGAAGTGATGCACCTCGGAAGGAAAGTCAAACTCAGCTGTTTGATTACTGGGAGCACAAAAATGTACTTAGGACTGTCATTGTCTCTTAATTACTGCTGTCAGTCTGTACAACTGGCTTCATTTAGTACCTATATATGGATTTGAACACTTAGCTTTGGATGCCCAGATTTGGAAAACTGGCCATTGGAGGGACCCATGTGGTCCTGTTCTCTGTTGCACTCAGAAGCAGACAGTAACGAGGATTCAAGTCACTAAGCACGTTAAGGCACCAACCAAGACATTCTGAAGCCCCTTCCTGGCAATACTGCCATTTCTGTGCCTCACTACAGCATGTACCAATTTACCACGGGGTACTGAACATCTCCTTATTCTCTGACACCTTCTGCTTGTCAGTTGTAAAGTTCAGTCAGGGAGGATTTGGATCAGTACTGAGGGTTGTCAACGTTTTAATTGCTTGTCTTGTCTTTTTTTCCCTATTTAATATTGGTAGTGCTGGTCCTTGTGGACAGCAGAAGCAGGTTGCTTTGGAGCTGGGGAACTCCTCCAGAACTACACAAGGAACTGTACAGAGTTTGTGGGCTACAATGTGGTGTTGCACACAAATGAAATGAGACGCACAGGCTTTCTAGCTCTGTCCCTGAACTTTCAGTGTTGCAGCACCTTCTACAGAAACAGCATGGGAAGGCTTTGGCTGTGAACTTCTCCCCAGGTGCTGGAGAAGTTGGAAGGCTGAGTAAGATGTTACTGCCCAGGGACACGCAACATGCAATAATTAAATGAGTTGGTGATCACGGTCCCTTCCTGTCTTAAAATCTGTGATATACTCATTCTGGGGAAAGACAACCCTTGAGCCTGAAGAGGCATCTCACAGTTAAACGCACATCATCCACACAAGCAAAGTATAAGGACAAATCTGGAACTTCCTTGCTCCTTTTCAGAATATATTGTCTGGCAGTGCAGGATTAGGAGGAGATCCTTCATAATGACCTTTTGGCTGCTATTTTGCACCGCACTGGACATCTCCTGCCAAGAATATTGCATGAACAGAAACTGCCAAGCTGTTCCTCCTCTGTTGCCATATGTCATTGCTAATAAAAGTTGTAGTTTACCAAATGTAAGTAAGCGTGTGAATGGATCAAGTCCTAGTGCTTTTTGCTTATGCAGAGCACAGGAGGAGAGGACGCAATCAGGATAATTTCCTGAGCATAGCAAAAATTAAGCCACATTCCTGGACAAATGACCAACAGGATTACTTCAATATTTTACCAGGGACTGTAAAAATAGCACATGCAGTGAATGAACCCAGTACAGTAGCTTCTACAAAGCCATCCACAGAGTGAGAAAATCATCACTCAAAAATTTACTTTTGTAACTCTTCTTTGGCAGCAGCTCTTACTTACCATTTTCAACATTTGCCAGTCGATGCAGAAGTGGTAACCACACTAGACACTGTGGCGGGGGATCCGACATGAGAGTATCCAAGAAAGTGTTTAATGTGACTTTTTTCTGCTCAAACAAGCAAACAAACATGCACAAAGAATCAGTAATTAGGCATATCAAGATGATTTTATCTTGTCCTTACAGAAACACTTTGGAACAAGTTTCAGACACTGTTTGCTTGCAGCCCTGGTTTGCTAACATGAGTAAGTGATACTAGCAAAGATTTTCTATTTTTACTATTTATAGTAGTTACAATGTATGGTACTGATGACTAGTGATCCTTTTCACAAGGCTGGGTTGAAGACACCTTGCTCCCATTCCCTTCAAGACTCTCTTCTAAAGTCATTGCCTGAAGATGCTTTGTGAATAAAGCTGGCATTCAACTCTTCATGTTCTCACGTGTTTTGAGTAACCCATAAGCATGGAGGGTATCGCTGTGTACTACCAATTTGCACATGAGAAGCCACTGCACAGAATGACTGATGGTACCCCGATAAAGAAAACGAAAGAAAATAATGTCAGGGGAGTATAATTTCAAAACAAATATAGGGTAAGGACAACACATCACAGGCAATTGTCTTACTGTAACTTAAGTAATTATGCTTCTCTGTTGAGTGATGGTAACTAGTTATGGATAAGCTGTGATTGCGGGATGATGTGTTTATTAGATATACTCAGGAACTACAAATCTCCCTAAACTCTCCACACCTGTAAACACTTAAAGGCCTATGCCCCTTCGTATTTGAAAGAGATTTCAACTCTAAAATGTCCCTGTTGACTTTAAAAATGTAATCTAAGGCCTTAAGGTTCTTAGGCATCTGGAAAAAGGCAGCACAAATCTGTGTTCATTTGGTTTTTTTCAGACCTAAAGGTGATACTTCAGCCTGAGATATCTCCACCATAAATACTTTCTCTTTCCTACCCAGTGTACTGGCTACGTAAGTGTGTACTGAAGTACACAGCTGCCGGGTGGTCAAGGACAGACAGTCCTTAAGAAATCAGCAACTAAGCCTTGCTTTATAATAAAATTAAGATGCAAAACCACTGATCTCTGTTGAGAATGTGTGCAGATATAATTTATAGACATACATATTTAAGTAGCATTCCTGTATCCAAAGGGATTGCTAAATTTTCATATCTGATTGCATAAGCTACTGCTTTAACTTGCTAAAGAACTGTGGTTACCCCACGAGGAAGGAAAACAGCAGCTATGCAGTGACATGTATCATCTCCGTGTGTTGTGGAGTGCTTTTAAGAGCTGAGCTTTCCAGATGGAGTGTCTGTGCTGCATTTATATACAACTGCCACCAGCTGTAAAGAAAATCATTATTTCACTTATACACTGAATGATCAGTGGAAAACATCTCGCTCTGTAACAGACTCAGGGCTGAAATACTGCAAGATACTGGGAAAATATATAAAGGTGTGCGTCCCTAAAAGAAGACAAAATACTTCAGGCTAGTTGTGAAAACGGCCTTGTTTCTTTAATGAACAGAAATAGCCAGAATATGGACTTTAAATCTCATTGACATACTACTTTCTCCCACAATACCTGCAGTATGAAAGTCCAAGCAAACAGCTACCACCTGCTTGTTGTATGAATGATCTTCCCAGCCACGGAGGGTGGATAAGCACTTCCCAAATAGGCATCCTATACTCTAAGCAGCAGCTCACAGAAAAGGATCTTTTGTTTGGGCATCTGCTGTGGATGTCTGGCCTGGCTTTGCTGGCCAATGCCGCCAAGAAATGCCTGTGCTGTCTGCAGCAGAACTGAGAACAGGAGGAGGAAAGGCAGAACTAAGTCTAGGAAAAGAAGGATCCCTCCAGTGCCCCATACTGCAGACCTGAGTCGCCTCAAGTCTTCCCTCTGCAATTCAAGGCAGGTAGGCTGGCAGCAAAGACACAACTGGTCTAAACAAGCCCCTAGATGGGGGGACAAGAAAAGCTCTTCCACAACGGCATAAGCTCTCGCACCTGATTTGCACCAAATAAAGCAACTTAGCTTCCCTGAAGGCTTTATGGCCGGACACCTCTGGTGGTTACTGATTTTATGGATTAGAGTGAGCAGTGTCCCTTAAAGGGACACCAGCAGAGCGATTTCCATACATTTTAAAAGGCATATTTTCCTCCTGCAATTTTTAGTTGCTGGGTAAGTTGAAACTGAAAGCTGTTTTCTAAATATAAGCTACGTGCAGATGGAGTCTAGGTTTGTGGAATAACACTTAGCCAAGTGCTAAGAAAATTAAGTTAGTGTCTATCTTTTTAGTTTGGGATAAGAAAAGAGAAATAGAAAGTTATTTTATATTAAAACCAACACTTTTTAATACGTATACCATCACATTAATACATATGGTGATGATAAAACTTCTTTTTGTCACAGATTTCTATTCTGGAACATTAAGTTACTTGCTCTGGCATTTTTGTTCCATAAATTCGCTGATGAGGAAACAGTTGTTTCTATTTTGAATAGCCATTCAATCTAGCAGTGGTTCACAGACGGAGGAAAACACATGGTTTGATCAAGTAAACCAGTACAATGGGCAATAATAAAACATTTCTGCAATAGGAAAAATCCTTTCAGATGCAAACTGGAACATATATGACAACGTGAGAAGATCATTCCCAGAATTTTTGCTTTCCCTGAAATTGAGGAATCTGTGTAACAGAGGACTGAAAGGCTTCTGATAAGGAACAGCGATCCATACCGAGAACAACAGAGTTAGTACCAAACTTCTCACAAGGCATCAGCTTTTGATAACGCCAAGTGTGACATGAGAGCGAACGACCGACCTACGGTGTGACTAAGCCTGTACGTTATCTTTTATCACAGTGTCATAGGGATATCTTGTTGTGAGTCTCATTTCAAAACTCTGGTTCATCCCTAGTAAGGACATAATAAGAAGTAAATAAAGTGAATTTAAGTGAAATATTAGGTGAGGTTTACATGAGCACATGGCCGCCTACAGATGCAAACCAGCAGCTTTGTGAATCTGCGGTGTAGAATCATAGAATCATAGAATGGTTTGGGTTGGAAGGGACCTTCAAGATCATCTAGTTCCAATCCCCCTGCCACGGGCAGGGACACCTTCCACTAGACCAGGTTGCTCAAAGCCACATCCAGCCTGGCCTTGAAGACATCCAGGGATGGCGCATCCACAACATCTCTGGGCAACCTGGTCCAGTGCCTCACCACCCGCTCTGGGAGGAATTTCTTCCTGATATCTAATCTAAACCTCCCTGATTTCAATTTATACCCATTACCCCTTGTCCTATCACTACAGGCCCTTGTAAAAAGTCCTCTCCCAGTACCCTGGTAGGCCCCCTTCAGATACTGGAAAGCTGCAATGAGGTCGCCTCGGAGCCTCCTCTTCTCCAGGCTGAACAAGCCCAATTCTTGCAGCCTTTCGTCATAGGAGAGGTGCTCCAGCCCTCTGAGCATCCGCGTGGCTCTCCTCTGGACTCGCTCCAACTGGTCTATATCCTTCTGATATTGAGGGTCCCAAAGCTGGACCAGGTGGGGTCTCACCAGAGCA